TTATCCTGGGGGCGGGGAAGGAGGGGGCCGGCCGGTAACCTAACCTTCGCGCTGTGGGCAGCCCTGCACATGCCCGCGCCCCCCCCGCCCCGGACCTTCACAACCGGCAAGGCTGGGTAATCCTGGGGGCGGGGGGAGGCGGGGGGCAAGCCCGAGAACCCGGGCCATCGCCGGACCCTGAAAAAGAAGTCTCTAGTGGAGCAAGGCCAGTTGAGACCACGGCAGCTCGAAGTCGGCCCCCGGACCCCTTCCATCGCACCACGGTTCCGAGCTGCGCCCGGCCGCGGCGACGAGAGCCCGCCCCCCCCCCGAGGGCCAGCTGCGGTTGTCTCAGCCCGCGCTCCCCGTGGCCTCGGGGAAGAGGCCCGCGGTGCAGGGGACCCCCCACGGCCAGGGCCCTGCGGCTGGGACCCTGGCGGCGGGCTGAAGTCAGGAGGGGAAAAAGCACACAGACACAATGAATCGTCGATTCCCAAGAAGAGATGGGAAAATATGGCAAGCGGGGGGGAAGATAAAAAAACAGAAAATATTGGAATAAGAGGTCCATTGGTCCAAGCGCGGTCTGGAAGAACACGCTGTCGGGAGAAGCAGTGGAGGCATCGCCCTGCTCCACGAAGGAGAAGGAGGAGAGGAGAAGGAGGAGGAGGAGGAAAAGAAGAAGGAGGACGAGGACGCGCAACGATTCGGGGATGATTTCTGAGACAGCGTTCTGGTCCTAAGGGTAACAAAGCAATCGCAATGCACCGTCTAGAAAAAAGTGTCTCTGTATACGACGCCGGGCACGCTAGAAAATCCAGCAGAAAAGCTGCACGCTCGCAAAACTGACGATCGACACCCCAAATCCTGACGAGCGAGATAAAATCAAAACATCGTTTTCGGCCTCTCCGCGATCCATGCCTTCAAGCGCTCATTGCTCTCCAGGCTGGCGACGACGGCCTTGAGCTTCGGCAAGCCTGCGTACAAGCCCGCGACATCCCGAGGGTAGGTGTCCTTCAGCAATTTGAAAATAACTACGTCTGCAAGAGACACCTTATCACCCACAGCGTAACCGTTGACACCAGGGATGGCAGCATCGAGCTTCTCGAGCATGGGTGGAAACTCTTCGTCGAACCAAGTCTTCTCTAATTCCGCCTTCTTTTCCGCGTCCTTCATGAAGAACAGACCTTTCTTGTTGTACGCGTCGTTGATGTCCTTCACATGCTCGGCAACGGCGTCCACCCAGGCCTCCTCCTCAGGCGTGGCGCCCATCATCCCGAAACGCTTTGCCAAGTAGCGCTCGATGGCCTTGCTCTGGGGCAGTGAGAAGCTGGGGCCAGCATCAAGCACGGGCACCTTGCCCATGGCCACGGTCATCTTCCCGGCTGCCCTGTCCGCCTCGAACTCCTCGCGCTTCATGGTGGAGAAGTCGCCCGGGGTGCCGAACGAGATCGGATACCGCTTGTCCTCGTAGCTCTCCCCGGCGATCGCGAAGAGCATGCGCGAGACCTCGGCCACCCCACGGCCGTCAAAGTACCGCAGGGTGAGCGCGCCCTCGGCGGGGCCAGTTGCCGCAAGCCGTGAGCGCTGTCGGCCCACCTCCCCCCGTCGCCCGAGCGCGCCGCTGCCACCGACGAAGAGGAGCGGGCCGCGCCACGCGGCCGCGAGCAGCAGCGCGACGACCGAGCCGAGGAGCCCCCGCGTCGAGCGAGGCCTTCGGCGCATGCCCGACGCCGCCATCGACGAAGCTGCCGTGTGCCGGCCGGGCGTGGGACAGGCCAGCGCCCGCCTGAACGAATGCCTGAAACCCAAATTGCTACAAGAGCCAGCAGAGGAGGGATTGCTTTCACACTGTGACATGTCAGAAGCGCGCGAAACCAAGGCAATTCCGTCGTGTGACTCGTCGGGTGAGAACTGATCGGATGCGACAGGGTGCAGACTATGAGACACAATCGGCGCGGTGCAAACCGTGCGGTGCAATCTACGCGGCCAAGTCAATCGTGTGCAGCTCACGTGGTGCAATCTGCGGGGTACAATGTGGGGCCTGACTTCACGTCCCTCAAGAAACGTGGGGAGGAACATGTTGTGGGACTCTACTCTATCTCCCTCAATATATTCCTTAATCAACGCACGTCTGGGGTGGGACCAGATGGGCTCGGATCCTGTGGGGGCGGGATCTCATGGACCTCACGGGGTGGACCTTCATAGGGTGGGGCTCTCTGGGGTGTGGCCCTACGGTATCGGTGGGGACCCTACGGGGTGGTGGGACCCAGTGGGGCTGGGCCCTCTCGCAAGGAAGCCAAAAATGGGGGCCGTAAGGACCGGCCTGGAACGGGCGGGATTATACGACCACGCCTAGGTCGTCGCGCCACGCACCTGCCGTAGGACAGAGAGGGTTGGACCGACCCTCTGGGGTGAGTCCCATTTTTCCAGGCCCCATCTCGGCCTCGGGGGCCAGTTTTTCCGGCCCAGTGTCCCGTCAAGAACGGGTTCGAGTCGAGATCCCCAAGCGGGGGCTCACGCCACCCCACGTCAAGAGAAAACTGCCGTACCATGCGCGACCTCCCCCTCTGCTCCCACCCCCCGGAACCCTGGTGCTTCGTCTGATGGGTCTGTTTTCCACCACCACCACCATAAGTTGGATGGGGGAAGGAGGAGGAGGAGGACGAGGAGGAGAAGGAGGAGGAGGACGAGGAGGAGGAGGAGGAGGAAAAGGAGGAGGAGGAGGAGGAGGAAGAGGAGGAGGGGAAGGACCCCCTCCCCCTTCAACTTATGGTGGTGGTGGAAAACAAGCCCATCATTCGTCCATGCCCTTCCGCTCCCCTCCGCAACCTTCCGCTCCGACCCCTCCGCTTCCCCCCCCCAAGGAACCCTTGCGCTTCTTCGTCCCTCCCCCTCCGCTCCCATCCCTTTCTGCAGGGGGAAACCACCATGCACAGGTACCGCCACTCCCCCGACCCCTCCCGAGGTGCAGTCTGACCAGGACTTCGAAGCGAACCCAGCGGTGGCGACGAGAGCCTCCCAGGAGGCCCAAAGAGGCGAGAAAACCAAGGAAGGGCAGCGGCATGGGCACCTCTTCTAGAAGAAAAGGAAAACGCATAAACATAAATGGTTGGCGCTCCGCGTGGATTCCTTGGATCCGGGCTGGACCCCCGTCCTTGGCGCGCGGAGCGCGCCAGGGGCGGCGCCGGAGGCCCCGCCAGGGGGCCCAGGCGCGGATCCAAGAAATCCGCGCGGAGCGCTAAACAAATTGTGTTTGTGTGTTTTCTTCTTCTAGAAGAGGTACCCATGCCGCTGCCCTTCCTTGGTTTTCGCCTTCTTGGGCCAAACGTTTATGTTCATGTGTTGTGTTTGTTCTTCTTCTTCGATCTGCTTCCTCGGACTTCCGCTCTCCTCGCGCGCCGCGCCCCCCCTCCGCGCCCCCCAGGGCGCGCCCCGGGCGGCTGCTGCGGCGGTCGCCCGCGTGCGGCTCGGTCGGCGGTCGACCATCACCGAGGCCTCCGTGCATGCCCGGCCCTCTCTCTCTCACACAAGAGCCCTGGATCGTCGATCCTCCTCCTCCTCCTCCCTCCTCCTCCCTCCTCCGCCTCCTCCCTCCTCCTCCTCCTCCTCCTCCTCCTCCTCCTCCTCCCTCCTCTCCTCCTCCTCCTCCTCCTCCTCCTCCTCCTCTCCTCCTCCTCCTCTTCCTCCTCCTCCTTCTCCTCCTCCTCCCTCCACCTCCTCCTCCTCCCCCTCCTCCTCCTCCTCCTCCTCCTCCTCCTCCTCCTCCCCCTCCTCCTCCCCCCCTCCTCCTCCTCCTCCCCCTCCTCCCCCTCCTCCCCCTCTCTCGGGCGCCCGTGCGCCGAGCACAGCACACGATAGCCGTCGACACGTCGACCCTGAGCGAATAATCAGCCAAAAAAGGAACGTTTTGAGCAGGTCCTCGACTGCAGAACCGATTCGTGCCACAATGATTGCTTCGTCGGATCGAGGAAAATACGTTTTATGCTCCGTAGATATGATACGAACCTTCCAAGTATGTTCATAGATTCGACGAGAGAATCAATTCTAGGGTGAATCAGTTATGCGGTCGATCCCCGACTCGATCACTGGCTTGAATAAAACTCACTCCTGCGAAACCCGCGGTTCGAGGAGCATGGGTGAGTCATAGCAATACTCAACTTCTCAAGGAGAGCGCAACATCCAGAGACGAAACATATGCTTACCATAGCATTCGTTGTCATAAACTTCACCATGTGATCTCTAACCGAAGGCAGCTGGTTTTGATCCCGAGCGTTGAGACTGGATTGCTTGAGCCAAGGTTCAGCCCCGTGGACTGTCAGTGACGAGACGATTAGGATCAGCAGCAGCAGACTTTTTCCCCGAATGAACAAATAATGCGCATATCCAAACTGGGTGGACTTGTTGCGGCGCCTGGCGCAGTAGGCCCCACGCCAAACCAAAGCTCCATCTGCGAGCAAATTCCTCAGGCACCCCCTCTGCACTTAAGGCGGATCACGAGAGCATGATCTTGATGACTTTGTCCTTGGCTTGCCCCTTGCCAATGACCTTTCGACATCAACGTCAGCATCGCCGACTCCGCCCTGGATTACTTGAGTGGGTGGCAGGCGGCAAACGCCGACAGGCTGAGAAGACAGAGCATGGGCCGGGGCGGACGAACGGGGAGACGTGTAGCAAAGGGGTGCTAGCGAAGCAGCTGCGCGTAGCTGGTCTTCCCGGCGCCTCCCAGCACCGGGAACGATCATCTATCGAGGAACGCGCTGGGCGGCGAGACCGGAACCAGCTGCATACTGCAGACGTCACAGCCACCCTTCTCCCCGTCTCCCCTCCTCGTCCGCCCCGCATGGAGGACAATCCCGCATGGAAAGACCATTGTGCGTTGTGAAGATCGCTCGCCCGCTGTGTGCAGCTCCAGGCCCACGGCCCACGGGCACCCACGCCCCACCCTCGCTGCGCCGGGCCCGGCCCGCGAGCGGCCGATCCGCTCCCGGCGCGCCGAGCTCCTCCTGCCCCGCCCCGTCCGCTCAGTAGCGGCGGTCCCGGTCGTCGCGCCCGCCGCGGCGATCGTCGCGGCGGTCGTCACGGCCTCCGCGGCGGTCGTCGTAGTCGCGGTCCCGGCCGCCTCCGCCGCGGCGGTCGTCATCCCTGCCACCACGGGGCTTGGGCTCCCCGCACTTGAAGCACTCGGACTTGGAGGCGAACACGTTCGCGCCGCAGCCGGGGCAGGCCCAGTCTCCAGGGCGCACTTCGCCGCCCCCGCCGCCTGCGGTGGGGGGCCCCCCCGAGCCCACCAGCGCGTTTCCCCCTCCGCGGCCACCCCCGCTCCTCCCCCCTCCCTCAGTCATGAGGGCATGCACGCGGGTACCTCGGAGGTCGGGGGGGGTAAACACGTCTTGTCCCCTACCGGGACATGGTTTTTCTGGTCGTCGAGCGAAGCTGCGCGAGGGCCACGACTTGCTGGCAGCAGCTGGGGCAAGGTCGGACAAAATGATTCCGGCCGCGCGGTTGACCCGTGGGCTGTCCCGCGGGCGGCCCCGTGGTTGTCCCGCGGGTTGTCCCGCGAACTGTGGAGGGGCCCCAGGACAAGCGAGCACCTTCCGAGCCCGAGCTGCTCCTGGCTCCAGCGTGCCGGCTGTATCGCGGCCGGCCCACAAACGGCACGAGGAGGGCAAGGCGGAGAGACGAGGAGGGCGCGGACAAGCGAGAAGCAGCCACGGCCTCCGAAGCGAGATGAGAGGAGCCCGAGGAGCGAGATGCGAGGAGCCCGAGGAGCGAGATGAGAGGAGCCCGAGGAGCTCGAGGAGCGACAGACGCAGGCAAGCGAGATGAGAGGAGCTCGAGGAGCCCACGGGCCTCCGAAGCCGCCGCCGCGGGGCGGGGAGCGGCCGCGGGGGGGCGGAGAACGGCTGCGGCCGCCGCGGCCGCCGCCGCCGCCGCCGCTCGCCAGCTCCACCTCGGCGCGGCACGGCCGGCCGCGAGCACACTCGACGGGTGGCATGGGGACCTCAGCCCCCGACGCTGCGAGGCTTGCGAGTGGGCAAACGAGTGGGGGCCGAGCTCGGAGATACTGCGATGGGACACGGGACGCTCGTCCTCGAAATAATAACGGTATGTCCCCAGGCTGCCCCATCTCTTCTGAGCGGCCAGCTTTGGAGGGGAAGCACTCGCGGGCTGGGAGCGAGAGATCCCCCGCGAACGGGGAGAAGAAAAGTGATCCCTGGAGGCGCACATGTTGCCGGAAGCGATCTGTCAGAAGGCAAACATTCGGCGGTGGACAAGGCTCCCTTTAGTAGCCCTCCCTTTAGTGAAAACAGCCTAGGCCCGAAACCGACGGACATGGACCCGCAAAAATGACGGCCGCGACGCCCTCTCGCGAACCGAAAACGGCCAATTCGCTAATCGACGTGTCAGGGTAGACGGTATATCAACCTCCGAAACATGTGGTCGCAGGAAGAGTGTCTGGAAGCCGTGTTTTTCTTGCTCTGGGGTGGGGCGGGGAACGCCCGCCTCTTCTGGCGCCCCTCGCCAAGGGGCCCGGAAGCTGGCAGACAACGAGGCGCACAGCCCCATTGTGCCGTCGTCGTCGTCGTCGTCGTCGTCGTCGTCCTCGTCGTCGTCGTCGTCGTCGTCGTCGTCGTCGTCGTCGTCGTCGTCGTCGTCGTCGTCGCCGGCATGCAGGAGCGCCAGAGCAGGAGCGAAGGGGCTGCTCTTGCCGCGGCAGGCCCCGGCCACGTAGGGGTGGGCTCCCAGGCTCGGCCCTCGGCAGCGGCCCGAGAACCTGGGCCCCTCCCGCGCCCGAAGTGGCCTCTGTTGCAGCGTCTTGGCCGTCGTTGCCGCCTGCTGACGTCGACGGCAGCCTCCCGCGCGTCCGCCCTGCCTCCGAGGAAGTCTGGCTGGGCTGTTCTTCCGGAGGCCCCCTGCCCGTTCGAAGAAGGGAACCAACATGTCCCGCTTGGCCGCACCCTCGCCCTCCCGCTCCCCAGTTCCCCTCCCTCCTCGCACTACCCCCCCCGTGCCATCCATCCCCCTCCCCTCCCACTCCCCATCATCTCTCTCTGGCCTGATTCGGTCGTGCCCTCGCTCCTCGGCTCGTTCCCTCCTCCCGCCGCTGCCGTGCAGCAGAGCTGTTCAGCGTCTCCCTGGCAGGGCGCAATTTGTCATGGTGGGCACAATGGCAAGGAACATATGTGCACCAGCCCTTGGTGCTCCCCACGCATTGGGGAATGGGCATGTGCCCGCATTTCAGGACCGATGACTATCCTGCATCCACCTCGTCCTTCTGAACTATCCTACTTCTTCTCCTCTTTATGCTGCTCCTCCTGACCAGTATCTACATAGTGGCGCCGGGACACCGCAACACTCAGCGTCGACCGTGCATCGTTCAGTTCACCGCCACGCCAGGCGCTCTCCGAGGGACCCCCTCTTCTTCCCCCCTGCACCTTCTCGGCGCGGTCCTTGCCCTTGCGGTCGTCGTATCTGACCTGGAAGCGCACCGGGTCGCCCTCCTGAACGCTGCCCTCGCCGTCCATCAGAGCGGTTACATGGCAGAACACGTCCTCACCTCGCACAGAGAGAGCCGCAGGGCAAGGGGGCACATCACGCCGGCCGGACCACCCACAGCACAAGCAAGCAGGGCGGCCACATGTAGTAGAGCACGTCTTCACCCCACTCAGAGCTGCTCGCCTCAGACTGGGCTGACACCGCAACGGCCGAACTGTCCAGGCCGAGGCCAGCAGAGCGGTTACATAGCAGCACACGCCTTCACCTCACGCACTCAAAACTGCTCGTCTCAGACCAGGGCTGACACCGCGACGGCCGCAACGCCCAGGCCCTGGCAAGCGGAGCGATTGCATAGCAGTACAAGCCTTCACCTCGCCCAAAGCCGCCGCTCGTCTACGGCCAGGGCTCAAATCACGCCGGCCGAAACGCCTATGACCCGGAAAAGCATGGCGGCTACACATGGCAGAGCACGTCTTCACCCCACCCAGAGCCGCTCGTCTCAGACCAAGGCTCACACCGCGACGGCCGAAACGCCCAGGCCCAGGCCAGCGGAGCGAATACATAGCAGTACACACCTTCATCCCACGTGCCATAAGCTGCTGGTGTCAGCAACAGGCTTACACCGCGACGGCCGCGACGCCCAGGCCCTGCTGGCTACATAGCAAAACATGTCCTCACCTCACCCAGAACCGCTAGTCTGGGGCCAGTGCTCACATCACGCCGGCCGAAACGCCCATGCCCCCGTCAACCATTGCGGCTACATGTTGCACACCACGTCTTCACCACGCCCGGAGCGTACACGCCTTCACCTCACGCACTCAAAGCTAGCCTCGTCTCAGATCGAGGTTCACATCGCGACCAGGCGCTGGCTGGCGGAATGGTTACATAGCTGAACATGTACTCACCTCACCCAGGGCCGCTCGTCTGGGGCTGGTGCTCACATCACGCTGGCCGAAACGCCCATGACCCCGTCAACCATAGCGGCTACATTCTGCAGAGGACATCTTCACCTCACCCACTGCCACTGCTCCACGCAGGGGCGGGGGTCATATCACGCTGGCCGAACTGCCCAGAGCCCAGGCAAGCAAGCAAGGCGGCTACACATAGAAGGGCACGCGTTAGCCTCACCCAGAGCCGCTCGTCTCGGACCGGTGCTCCCACCGCGACCGCTGCAACGCCAAGGCCCTGGCGGAGCGGATACGAAGCGGGACACGCCTTCATCTCGCTCAGGGCCGCAGGGTCACGGCTGACATCACGGCGGCCGAAACTCCCCAGGCCCATGCAAGCAGAGCGGCCACACCTCGCCCAAAAAACCGCTCGTCCAGGGCCGGAGCCCACATCGCGACGGCTGAACAACACGGGTCTGGACCAAGCCTGCTTCACCGCTGCCGCCGCCGTCGTGGCCAAGGCCTGCCCAGACACAGCGCAGTGGCTCACCGTTGGGCCAATCTGGACGTCTGAACACGCCTTGGCCTCAACGACGCCACGCATCGATGAATCCGCGACCGTGCCCCCTGGCACGCGGAGGCGTGGCAGAATGCCAACTGCTGTCTGGTGGGGTGGGCTGCTGTAATTCTTTGGAGGTCCGCGTGCACCGTTTTTACCTCCCAAAGGCCACGATCCCTGGCAAACATAGCGACTGGCCCGCCCTCCCGAGGCCAGGGTCCTTCAGGAAAAAAACCTACGGCTCTGCGTTCGCGAGGCCACGATTCGCGCTCCCGAGGCCGTGCAAAATGACGGACCCGCGATCCCGAGCTTCCAAGACGGCCAGGGCAGGCCACTAAGACCGCCAAGACAGCACAGGATGCCTCCAAGACGGCCCAAGCTGCCCCGAGATGGCTCAAGATGGCATCAAGACGACCCGAGAGACCCTCAAGACGGTCCAAGAGGGCCACAAGAGCACCCGCAGCAGGGCTCGAAGAGTCCAACATCACTGATTTGCCTCAGGTGCTTGAAACGGTTTCGCGTGTTCCCTTTTCACGGCTTCTCTCAACGCAAGACGGCCCTGAAGGCCTCCGAAATGAGAATCCTCCGAGACGGCGTCAAGACGGCCCAAGAGAGCCCGCAGACGGCCCAAGAGAGACCCAAGCTGGCCCAGGAGGGCCTCCGGAGGGACCTACGACGGTTTAGAGGGCCCATCGACGGCTCCAAGACGACCCCAAGAGACATTCCAGACGGACATGACGGCCCCGAGACGGCCCAATAGTTCCCCAAGACGGCCCAAGAGGGCCCGAAAGAGCCCCAAGGGACCCAGACTGCCGCACAGGGGCACAAGACAGCCCCAAGGCGGCCCCAGATGAGCGCCTCCTCGACATCATCACCATCATGAAGTTCCTCGTCGCACTCGTCCACTACGATGCTCCTTCTCCTCCTCCTCCTCCTCCTCCTCCTCCTCCTCCTCCTCCCCCTCCTCCTCCTCGTCCTCGTCCTCCTCCTCCTCCTCTTCATCATCCTTGTCCACTCCTCATCATCGTTCCCTTCATCCTCATACCCCGCCCCAGGACAATCCCAGATGACCGCCGAGAAATGGCATGCGGCGTCATGACCGTTACTCCCACCACCACATGATTCACAATTCCAGCCTCCTGTCGCCCCTGTAGCAGTTGACTCCGAGAATACTGGGCTGGCACGGCGGCGGGACTTGCCACAGGCAACTGGATATCAATGTCCAGTCTCACTCTTACCGCAAAAGCTGACAGAGACTGCGCACGAACTGCCACCCTGACCCTGCGCAACGGTGGCGTCGCGTGGAGCTACCCGATCGGCGCGCCAAAGGCTGGAATCTGGAGAAGCCTTCCGAATGCTGGCCGCCCGCGCAGAACGGCGGTTTCGACCAACAGAGTGCCACCTAGGTCGACATCGCGCGGGTGGGCTTCGAGCCACCTCCCTTAGGATGGCCCGATCGGCAGAGCACCACGCGGCACCAAGCAGGGCAGCAGGGGCCGAGAGTGCCGCTTTTGGCCCCACTGAGGTCTTCGCCTCCCTGGTCCGGCGATATGAAGCCGAAGCCCTTGTCCGCGTGCCACCTCTTCATGACCCCCGCTGGCATCGTTGCAAGTCCCCGCCCCGAGTGGTGAAGAAGCCTCTGGCGGCCGCAGCAAGAAGCAGAAAAACACCACCCCTGTAAGCCAAACTGCTGCGTGGGGGAGCGGGGAGGGCGTCGGGAGGGCGACCGAGCGAGGGTCACATGGGGCCAGGGAGGTCCGCATGGGGCGACGGTTACGAACAGACGACCCACTGGGTTGGACTCGGATCACTGGCCCAGGCATGGACTGGGCTGAGCTGGACTGGGCTTGAGCCGCTGGGCCCACCCGATAGGACTTGACTTGCCAGGACGGGCCTGGACTGACCGGGACGGGAACGGGGACTGAGACTGGGCAGGACTGAGCTTGCTGGTGTAACTGTGTTCCTGTGGCTGCCGAGTGGCCCCCAGTGAATCCACATGGGTTCCTGTGGATTGCTGTGGATTATGATGGATTCCTATGGGTGCCAGTGGACTCCAATGCATTTATGTAGCTTGCAATGCGCTCCTACATAAACGTTGCAAAAGTTTCGTCATGAACTGGAACTTCATCATCTTGCGTGGGCAAGGCAAGATCCCGCCTGGTTGGGATTTCTAAAACCGTGCGTGTGTGTGTGTTTTCGTTGGGAGTTTAAATCATCCCGTTTAAACATACACGTATATAATCTAATCTAACTGGAGGGAGTCCTGGGTTTAAAAATCCCGGATCTTTGAGCCGATCGCTCTTGACCCAGCCCGCTAGCATTCTAGGGGGGATGAGGGGCAGCTTGGCACGGTCGGGACAAGGGTCAGCCTTCGCCCGCCCGCTCGCGCGGAAGTAACGGACGAAACCTGCATCATCTTGACGCTCCCATCCAGCATGACGAAATTTTGTGATGCACCTCATGAGTTCCTGTAGACCTTGACAGATCCTTATGTCTTGCCATGGATTCCACGTGCATGTAGGGTTGTCATGTGTGCCCATGGTTTGCTGTTGATTCCGAGGGATGCCAACAAACCCACGTAGAGTCGCATGGCTTCCCGCCGGCCGCGGGCTCACATACGTCTCGATGGATTTCTAGACATGCCTTTGGATCACGGTAAACTCATGATGTAAATCCATCCGGATTCTTCATGGACGCCTGCTCAATTCTAGACTTTCACATCGCGT